TGTTATCATGTTTGGATAGTGATGTGATGATCATTTATGATAACAGGTTATCAGGTTTTGGATTTTGTACAATTATGAGACTGTATAGTCTATATCATGAAAATAAGCAAGTATGGCAATTTACATAAAGAAAAAAGTTAAGTTACGTAGTTACAGAAAACTACGATGATACTTTACATGAGTCTTCCGCTTTTAATCAAGTATGCAACACTTTTATTACCATATAACATGTTAACAAACTGGCGACCGGTGGGGCATTATAGAGGACGACATAAAAAATGATGGCTCTAGATAAATGAAAATTTAGTAGGAGATCACTTACAAAAATAATCTTACATTTTTCATTTGTTAAATGGGACAAAATCTCCATCAAATTAACCTAGACATTTCTCAAATGGGGCTGTACCAACCAAAAATTAGATGAAAAAAAGACATCTCAATTAGCATTGTGATAGTTATAAATAGATAGTTTTCAAACCACAAGGATGGAAACTTTCCCTTTCACTATGTAACAGGGATTAGATTATGTTTCTACTTACTGTAACAAATAAATAAGAATAGGAATTAAGTCTGGCTAACAAGATGGCCAACGTGCCGCTACCACTAATGTGAATGTACCTAACTCTACCTCTAATATATTATTATCTTTAAGGTGTTTTGTCATTAGTCTTCCTTTATTTTTTAAGCTTTAATTATGATAGCTACTTTTTAATTTCTCATATCTATGGGTGAAACTGGGCCGGCCCGACCTATAGGGACCTACGGTTTGGCCTATGTCAGGTCGGACCTGACCTGATATATTTCGTAAAATAGGCCGAGCTTGGGCCTTGAAAAAGCTTGTTTAATAAAAAGGCCGTAGGCCCACTTTCATAAGGCCTGACATATAAGCCTACAGGCCGGCCTATATTGTACTATTTATTTTATATAAAATAGAATAAATATGCCTTGAAGAAAAAATAAAATATATAAATTTAATTAATTGCAATTATTTATAACTTAATTATATTTGATTATATTTTAATAGAAATATGACTTTATTTCTTATGTAAGAGAAACCTACATCTCTGCATGTTAGATTATGTATATGAATATATTAAAAAGTTTCTGGGAGAGGTTATACTTACTACAAGCATCATGATATGTTTGTTGGATTCATGTAGTTATTTTAATTTACATAGTATGAATTTGTTTATTGGATCTGATGAAATATATGTTGTTTAGTTTGAGCATTTTGCTTTTGAAAGTGACTTAAATGCAGATTGTAGGAGTTTTGTTGTGATTCATGATTCTATTTGGACGTTGAAATTGTGATTTTTGGTTTAGCAACAGAATTTGAGTATTTTGTAAAGTTGATTCATGGTTTTGCTTGGAAGTTAAAAATTAACAGGCTAACAGGCCAGGCCAGGCCATTTATTTTTTTATAAACGGGTTAAGTCAGGCTAACAGTTAGACTCGTACTGCTTGGACCAGGCCAAATTAAAATTTTTTGACATAAGCTTGGACTTTTTGGGGCAAAGCTTCAGTCAACCTAATCCACTTTCACCGCTACTCATATCCCTTTATTCTTTTATAATTTTTATAAAGGTATTACTGATATAGAAGGTTTTACATTATACATTTTCAATCAAGACTTACAATTTTTTTAATGTTATTCAATGATTTAGGTAATTAAGTCTTTAAATGCTCTCAATTTGTCATTATTTCAATGAGGATTTTTTTTTTCAATTTATGAAATTTATTAAATAAGTTATAGGAGGATAAAAATAAATTGTAACGAAGGATCAGGATTGGAAATAAATAAAGAGCGAAGCTTATGTCAAGTCATTATTTTTTATTTCGTTAGCAACTTAATTATGAATAGATGTAAGATAACTGTTATAATTTTGAACTTAAATTGAAAGATTTTATGATTCATAAGAATTGATTACAAATGATTTAAAGTTCAAAGAGCCTGCAAATTTTTTTTTTGCAAAAACAAAAAACTTGTGTAAAAAAAGAAAGAAAACAAATACTAGAAAAGAAAAAATAACGGGTCTGCTGATTGTGTTCTTTTTCTTTTTTTTTCTCAAAACTGTTTTGTAGAATAGTTAATGAAATATATATTTTTTCTTTTGAAAGTTTAAAATCAAAACACAAAACAAAAACAACTTAAACATTTTCCTTAAATTTGATTCTAAAAACTAAAAAATAGTTATAAGTTGTAGAACATTTTTTTCAAAGGGAAAACTTCAAAAAACCCTTTACAAGTTTTCTCAAAATCACTTAACTCCCTTCTCAAAATTTTTAATCATTTACCCCCTACTTAAATTTTTTTTATCAATTACCCCCAAATTTGATTTTGATCCAAAATTTTGTTAACAGAGTTAAATTTTTTTAAAAATATCAAAATTACCCTTAATAGAAAAAAGAAAAACATAATTTCTTCACTAACGCAATTTTAGACGAACTCACGGAATATTTTCTTTAATGTAGCCTTGTTAGAATTAGTAATTATTAAAATTATTTCTTACAAATTCCATTGCTATTAAACACCGCACTCATAATCGTTGGTGTCGTTGTTAAAATAAAATGATTAAAAATTTCGGAGAAGGGATTAAGTGATTTTGAAAAAACTTGTAGGAGTTTTTTTTTGAAGTTTTTCTTTAAAACTATTACTTTTAAGCGGTGGCAAGATTTTTTCGTTTTGATAATATTTGATATTGTGAATGATTTACATCATAGGAAATTATTAGTGGAAGATTTTATTGAGAAATGTTATTAAACTCGACCCGGTTAGTGACTTAGTCGAGGTACAGAGTTAGTGGGTCACTGGTTCAACAGCATGACTCGGTGAGTATATATAAATTTATAATTTATATAAAAAAATTAAATATATTTAAGTACTTATAAAAAATAATTTTAATTTCAAATATTCTCTTCTTTTTTTTTGATAAATAAGTATTCTAACTTTATTAGTAATGAATATTACATTTTGTATTCCAAAAGACAAAATATTACATTTCAATTACAATTTAATATAATAAATTTTTAAAAGCCGTAGCTTTGCAAAAGAGTGTTACATTTGACAATATATTAAACTACTTCTTTCACTTCAATTAAGTACATTCCATTTTTCAATACAATGTAATAAATGAAAAGTACAAAAGCATTGGTCATTTTTATCTGCTATTTCACAGCTATCTATCGCCTCTTTTTTTGAAAACAGCTATAGTCTCTCTTTCTTTTTTTCTTTTGAAAACAGCTATCGATCTTTGTATATGATTCTTCTTCTTTGCCATAGCTATAGTCTCTCTTTCTTTTTTTCTTTTGAAAACAACTATCGTCTCTTTAGCTGCTTCTCTCTTTTCAGTACTATTGTTTCAATCTGTAATTTTTTTCTTCTTCATCTATGAGGGTGGTGGTTACCATGAATGAAAAAAAGACCCACAATGAAACTCGAAGAGAAAGTCTTGGAGAGAGATAAAATACCATGGTGAAGAAGGCTATGCTAGTGGATGTCAAGATCTTGAAGGGAAACGATGAAATACCGGAAATATTTTTTTTTCCATCTCTGTCATCTATAATCTTTCTTCTTCTTCATTTCCGACCGGATTTTTTTAAACCGGCGGGTCACCGGTTTTTAAATACTCGGCCGGTTTAACCCGGTTTTCACCGGTTCATACTGGGTGGTTGACATATCCGATCCAATAGGTTGCTCGGACCGGTCACACGACCGGTTTACCGATTTCCGGTTCGAACCGGCCGGTCCGGTCCGGTTTTTATAACACTGCTATTGAGTATCATGTTGGTTTCTTTGTAATCAACTCGTTGATATTTTTAGCCGATATATAATGACTTAAAAGAATTTGGCATACTAGTTTTATTAAGTTTTTAATTTTATACATGAAATACGATTTTGGAAGTTGTATTGCTTGTGGGTTCCTAGAATTCAAACATGAACCTAGATTCAGATTGGGAATTTCCCTAAAGTCAGATTTGTTGGTCATATAATAGCAGAAAAACTTATAACAGAAAAGGAAAGATCTAAACCTGCTGAGATGATGCCTCTTTAATCATTTTATTTGAACAATGACACAAACAATTGTGAGTGCGGTGATTAATAGCAATGGAATTTGTAGGAAATAATTTTAATAATTACTAATTCTAACAAGGTTACCTTAAAGAAAATATTCTGTGAGTTCGTCTAAAATTGCGTTGGTGAAGAAATTATGTTTTTCTTTTTTCTATTAAGGGTATTTTTAAAAAAATTTAACTCTGTTAACAAAATTTTGGATCAAAAATCAAATTAGGGGGATAAGTGATAAAAAAATTTTAAGTAAGAGGTTAAATGATTAAAAATTTCGGGAAGGGGGTTAAGTGATTTTGAGAAAACTTGTAGGGGGTTTTTGAAGTTTTTCCTTTTTCAAAATAGGCATTATCAAACAGATTTTTATTTTTATTTTTCTTCTAATAATTAAAAAACTGCTTTTAAGAACATAAAATTCAAGAAAAACCAACATTAGGTATTCGTGGAGATTGTTACTTTTTCGCAACATTCTCGACTAAGACCATAAGGATCTAAACAAGAACACATTAAAAACAATTTAGGAAGTGTTTTAAAATCATACGAGTAAACGTGACTTATTGCACTGTACTATATATTAACATTTTGACACAGTTAGAAATTTTTTCAAGGGGGTTAAATTAGAACTTATATTTTTCTTTAAAGTTATTACTATTTATATGACAAAAAATAATAGATCAATGATGCTCATAATTAAAAAATTCTATAAACTTTGGGGGGCGATCACTAATATATGTCTTAAAAGTTAGAAATAACACCCAAATATAAAGGCTTTTTATAAATTTGAAGGGGGGGGGGGGGGGGGGGTTATTGCCCCTGCTAGACCTTTCCTCGCTTCACCATTGATTTAGAGACAAATACGACAGGAACAATTAAAAAACAAATTTAACATAATAAAATCAGAATTTAGAAACATAAGAAAAACCATAATGATGTATTCATTGATGCATATTATTATTTTTCTCCAGTACATAATTGGCTATAAGCATCAGACACTAAAAGCAGTTTAATGAAAATTTGAAAATTACACTGGTAAAGATGAATGACTTATCACACTATACTATATATTGAGGACGACATTAAAAATGATGGCTCTAGATAAAACAAAATTTAGCACGAAATCACTCACAAAATAATCTTACATTTTTCATTTATTATATGGGACAAACATCTCTATCAAATTAACAAGGCATTGCAGCATATCTTTATCTCTCTCAAACGCAATTGTACCTGCCAAAAATTAGAATTAAAAAAAAAAATGACAAAATCTCAATTAGCATTGTGTAAGTTATAAATAGATATATTAGTTATTCCCCCTCCCCTCACTCCGTACTAAAATTGCATTTTAAATCATAATATTTTTGGGTGCACAATAAGCAATGGATCATTATCTATTAGCAAAATAGGAGATATAAAAAACTTTACCTATTGTTCTTGCACTTTGAATTTCGTTTTCATTCTGGCAGCAAATACAACTAGTGACACATACGTCCAATCATACATGTTGTTGAAGAAGTGAAAGTAGGCATGTCTCCATGAAGCTTTTATCAATAAAGTTCCCCAAAATCCCCAAAATCCAACACAAAATCCAAATCCCAGGCTGATGTAAAACCCAAAGGTTACGAGTTCATCTTCATATTCATTAGTGCCATTTTTGTCGGTGTTTTCAGTTGCTGAAATCACATCTCCTGGGCAATGGTTTGTGAGTGGTGGGCCACAAAGCCCACTATTCCCTTCATATGTAGATGCATCAAAAGTTTCCAATTGAGTGCTTACTGGAATTTCTCCTGACAAGTTGTTGAAAGACAAGTTCATGTAATCCAGAAAAGTTAAATTGGAAAAGCTTGATGGCATTCTACCATGAAGATGGTTTCTTGACAAGTCAAGTGATTCCAAATATTGCATATGACCAATGTTGTTGGGAATGAATCCTGTGAGATTATTTCCTGAAAGATTCAAGACAGCTAATGCCACAAGCATTGTTATACTTTGGGGTATCTCTCCTGTTAAATGGTTGCAAGAAAGATCAATGATTGTCATAAGCCCAAGAATTTTCCCGTATTCTCTATCTTCTCCTTTCCACGCCAATATTGCTTCGTCGTAGAAAACAAAATTTTCATATTTATCATACATAAAATCATAATAAGAAAATACTAATTTGGAATAGATAATGCTTTTTCTTGAAAACTTGGTGTTGGACAAAGCAATTATATGACTGAGGCATTGTGGTATTTCTCCTGCTATATTGTTTTGTGAGAGATCCAATACTTGAAGAAATAATAGATTACAAAGACTTGCTGGTATGTTTCCATGAAAATTGTTTGTCCGTAGACGCAAAACAATCAAATGATGTAGGTTATAGCCAACCCAAGCAGGTAGTGTTCCTTCCAAATTGTTATCTCCAAAATCAATGAATATCAAATTGCTACAAAGAGCCAAAGATGGAATTTCACCAGAGAATTCGTTGTCATCTAAATGCATCCTCTCAATTTGTCGCAAAGTGCCAAATGAGTTGGGTATTCTCCCTGAGAATTTATTGTTTGCCAAATTCAGAATGTTTAAGCTTTGAAATCGCCCCCAACAATCTGAAAGTGGCCCAGCTAGTAAGTTACTAGACAGGTCAAGAATAGTTAACTCCATCATTGGTGAATTTTCACAAAAGCAAGATAAGGACCCTGAAAACATATTATTTGAGAGAATTAGAGTCTCTGTGCTATTTGGAAAAGAAGGTAGGGAACCGATCAAATTGTTGAAACTAAAATCCCATGTAATTAGGATTTCCATATTTTGTAGTGATTTTGGCAAGACTCCACTAAGTTTGTTATGTGAAACATTTAAGTATTTCAAACTCAAGGATTGGTTCCAAAACCATTGAGGAAATGAATCTGAAATACCACTATTAGAGATCTTCAGCTTCTCAAGTTCCCTCTGATGTTTGAGCCATGACGGAAATTTAGGACCCAAAGTGCACGACGATGCATATAAATCTCTCAGTTGGAACGGTGGTATCCAATTTGAACCCAAGTTGAATGAAATTGAATTGTGAGACACATCCAAACTTTGTAGTTTAGACAAATTTGATAGATGTGCTTCATGAATGTTGCCATTCAACTTATTTGAAGAGAGATACAATGCCGTGAGACTAGAAAGTTGTCCAATAATATATGGAAGCGTCCCGTTCAACTGATTATGGGAAAGATCCAATCCTACTAATGAAGCAGGTTCTGTAAACTTCAATAATGATAGTGATCCACTCAGTTGGTTAAAACTAAGATCTATATTTTCAAGATATGGCAAGTGACCAAATGATTGTGGTAATAAACCAACAATATTGGTATTCCGGAGTTTTAATGTCTGCAAGGACGAAAACCATGAAAGATCAGGAAGTGGACCACTACTAAATGGGTTGTGGCTGAGATCCAACGATTCTAAACCATTTTGTGCACAACCCAAGTTTTGTAGATTGTCATTGAGTGGGCCAGACAATTTGTTGGATGCGAGCCATAACCCTTTCAGTTGACACAAATTCTGAAAGGATTGTGGTATGCTACCCTCAAGTTCATTACTTGAGAGATATAGATATGTGAAGACTTTGCTAACATTAAGCACCCATGACAGAGTTGAAGAGTTTAACTCATTTCCCGAGAGAAAGAGGGTATCGAGAGAAGTAGAAGAATTCAGGTGGGGAATAGTTCTAGGATTGACTTGACCGAGCCCACAATGATCTAAATGAAGCTCCAACAGAGAAGGGATTTTGCTAATTGATGATAGCCAATCAACAGCTCCACTAAGATTAGTATTTGACAGATGAAGGGATCTCAAATTAGAGAGGTGAGAAACCCATTCAAGGTCATTTGTAACCAAATCATTATACCCAAGGTCTAGAGTTTGCAAATTGGAAAGGTTCCCCAGAGTAGGAGGAATGATACCAACAAGTTCATTATCTGAAAGGTCAAGAGTTTGCAAATTGGAAAGGTTCCCCAGAGTAGGAGGAATGACACTAACAAGTTCATTGCCTACAAGTTTCAAGTCTATCAATTGAACAAGTGAACCAATGCAGTTTGGGATCTTTCCTTCTAAGTGATTCAAACTGAGATCTAAGAAAGTCAGATGTTGCAATTCACATATTGAAGAATCTATCTTACCTTGCAGTCTTGGATAAAAATCTGAAGAATTTTGGAGATCCAACCTGGTTACATGACCTGTTAAATCATCGCATGAAACTCCTTCCCATGTACAGCAATCTTCACCTTGCCAAGAGGAAAGAATGTCCCTTCCATTAATGAAACCATCCTTTAGCTTGAGAAGAGCTTGCGTGTCTGTCTCCACACACTTCTTTATTTGGGAACTTCCAACACACAAACACGTGCATAGAATGCCCACCACACAAAAGAGAAAGAATCTAAAGCTTGACATGGTGATCAACTGGATTCCCTTGGTAATGTATTTGGTTATTAAAACTGAAGAATATACTGAATTCTAAAGTGAAACCTAGCTATCTCCTTATATAATTAATCGTGCTCATTTGTATAAAGTCAGTTTAACTTAGAAGAAGGGGCAAGAAGACTTGAGGGCAATAAAGCAAAGTGTAATGCACGGAAGCTTAAGTCAAATATACTTGAGCGAGGCCATAACTTTAGTCAACTGAACTTGAGGGAGGGGCAAGACTTAAGAAGTGTAAAGTGATATGAGTGGAATTGTATCTGCCTCCTTTTTCCATGTGGTATAGTTTCTTTTCCCTCTCTTCTAAGAGCAAGTTTATTATTAACTCGTTTTGCTTAATAAAAAATTAAAAATTTCTCCGATCAAATAACATTTTAAATCTTATTTGGCAAATAAATCATATAATGGAGTTATTTAAAACTCTAAATCCTACTTACAAAAATATTCAGGAATAATTATTGATCGATTTGCTATTAGTTGCCTGGTCACACTATAAGTTTCATTTTCATAGTGAGAAATACAAAAATACCAATAAGAACAACCCAAAGTTAGACCTATGTAGCAACCATCAAGTGTTCTAGTATATTCCAATATCTTAATTTCAGTATTTTTTTTTAATAATTGTTTCTAATTTCAGTTATTTTGTTGTAGTGTAATAACTTTTGTTAAATAAGGAATCACACTATTGAGAAAGGAAATAAGAAGAATATTCGAAATGATGTCTCTATTCCTTTATGCTCTCCTTCCTTTTCTCCTTGAGTCCCTCCCTTTGCTAATTCTTCTTGTACTAATTGTTAAGTAATGATCAGTTGATAACTGATAGACCTCTATTTAGAAATATATCTGATCTAATTAAACACATGTTCAAACCCCTTTTGTTTTCTTTAAAAATCTGATATGTGCATCTTGTAAGGCAATAAGCTGGAATGCTGGTTTAATGAATTGACTTGAGTTTCTAACACTTCTATACACAATGGGCTATATCTGTTCCTATTTTAGGTTAATGGATTCCATTTTGTGTAATGTCTTCTGTTATTGTTCTTGCTGTTGTTTTGGATTTAGACATCCTTAATAGCATGATCTAAGCACTTTTAAGGTTGAAGAAAATAAGTACTCAAACCTTATTGTATAAATCTCTTTTTTTCGATTGCTGCACCATTGAGAAATTTGTCCAATTCTGAATTTTACGCTTGATACTTACAATTGACGTTCCTTGGCAAGAGTAAGGCTGCGTACAAGGATTGCTTTCACCCCGCGCTTGCTAGTTGGGTTTAATTGGGGAGTGATTTTTTATACTTACAATTTTGTGTACAGGGGTGTGCAAAAAAACTGGTTCAGTTGTCTTTTGTCCTTGATCTGACTTTAATCTGACTCATAAATACTTATTTTTTTTGAACTGGGTTTAAATATTGATTCACTTTTATTTAGGTCAGTTTTAGACCTGATTTATTTTAATAATTGACCCAAAACTTGACCTACACCTATTATAGGAAAAAGAAAAACGAAAAATCACTGTTCTCTCTTCTCTCTGTTTTGGGGCTAAGGGTTCTCTCTTCTCCCAATCTCTTTCGGTCATTCACTCTCTTGGTTCCCCTCCAGTCTTCCCCTCCATCTTCCTTCAAAATCACGAGAGAGAGAGAGAGAGAGAGAGAGAGAGGGGGAGTTTTGAAGGAAGCGATTGAAGAGTGAAAGTTCACAATCCATCGTATTGGTTTGGTTGATAAGGAGCAATTGAGTGTTCCACGCAAACACCAGCTGAATCGGTGTCGTTTTGATTTCTCAGTGACAGGTCAGATTCAAGTAAACACTTGTTCTTCCCTAACCCTAGCTTCCTATATTTCTTCAATTCGCTCTTTTCTATTCTCAATCTCTCTAATTTCGTTGTTGCCCACTTCTTTTATATATATATATATATGGAAAAATGTTTCTACAGTTAATGCAGATAAGTTATCTGCATTTATTTCCAAAACGACGACGTTTTGGTATTGAAATCTTAAAAATTTATTAATAGAAAGACTATTATAACCCTGAAATAAATTAAAATTACAAAATACCATGATTCCGTCCCAAAACGACGTCGTATTGGGTTTACTGCAGATAACTTATCTGCTTATCTGCAGTAACTGCAGAAAAAGCGAACCCATATATATATTTGTTCTTTTTTTGTGATGTAAGTGTTCTTTCTTTATCAATTCATTGCTTTTTTGGGTTTGTTTGATCAAATGCGTATTGAATTTGTTGGGGCTATTATGCAACGTATTGAATTTGGATTTTAAAATTAAATAAATTTTTTTTAAAAAAAAATTACATTTCTTTATTTATTCAACAAATATCGAATTTATTATATAATTTATATATTTTAAACAAAAAAATAATTAAATACATGAGTTTAAAAATTAAATCAATAACCATAAAAAAAAATCAAATCAAAAACAAGTCAAGTCAAAAGTGGGTCAGGTTAAATTTGACCCGATTTTGAAACCAAGTCAAAAGTGGGTCAGGTTAAATTTGACCCGATTTTGAAACCAAGTCAGACTCACTTCAAAAATCAAGTCAAGTCAGATCTGATCCAATTCTAAACTAGTTCAAAAAAAATTAAACCGGGTTAGACCTGACTTGAATCAAATTAAACTGAATCATGTCAAAATACCTAACTTATAAAACCAAATTGAGTTGGATCGGCACAAAAACCCGACCCGACACATGCACCGCTGTAATTGAGATCAATCAAGATTGCAAGGCTTCAATCTACCACATGCTAACTATGCAGAGTAAAAACCAAACAAAAATCACAATTGAATTTACAAAGTATGCCAAATTTCGATTTACCAAGTTCCATGAATTGATGAGACTCAGGGTATTTGGGAGGGAAGGATAAAAAATTGGGGGGTTTTGATCATGACAGAAACTCTGCTGAAGAGATCATTGAACGTTTCAGCAAGATCAATATCATTTTTATAATGGGGTTCATCTGTCTTAACAGTATCAATGGTTATGGTTGGAGCTTCCGAACTTAGTGTATATTTGACTAGTTTGCAAGGGATGGGAGTTAAGAGTATCAGAAATAATGTTTTATGGCTGAGACCTTGTACCACGTTATTATTAACCATAGAGGATTATGATCCCAAGACGAGATTTTCATAATGATATAACTTAAATTCACGATGATAGTAGTACACTTACATGTCAGCTAGATAATGAGAGGATGACCAAGTACAAAAGCCAAAATATCTAAATTGCATATATGTGAGACCTTATCCAATCATCCCCTGACAAAAGGTTACACATTTTATCTTTCCTTGCTATCCAAGAAAAAAAAAAAGTTGTTATTCAAAAAAAAAAAAAAAAAAAAGCGCCAAAGTGGAGAAAAAGCATACGAAATATGCTTTTTGTGCCACTTTGGCGCTTTTTTTTTTTCTTTTTTTGAAATATGCACCACTAGGGATAGTCTAGTAGTGTTGGGTGTGTTTAGTGTGTATTAGGTGTGCGGTTCGATTCCTTGTAACATCCAAAAAAAAAAAAAAAAAACATACGAAATATTGAAACGGCACAACAAGCGTCAAAGTTGGGCAAGATGTGCCAGAAATCGCGCAAGACCAACAGGTATAAAATTTGATGCTATTATCGAAAAACAACAATAAAATTAAAAATAAATAAATAAAATAATAATAATAATATAAAAATAAATAAATAAATATTAAAATAATATATGTATATATATATATATAATATGAATCGAAGATAAACAAATAAATATCAAATATTATAATATATATATAATCAAAATGCAGAATACGTGGAAGTACCCCAACAATGCTTACAATTTTTATCTAGAAATGATTAGGTTGATGATTATGTAATTAGATTTTATCTGAAAAGTCATAATTACATAGTTAGAATTTTTACTTGGTTTTGTTAGAATTTAACTATATGATTAGATTCTCTTGTCAATTAAGCAATCTACCTATAAATACATACATATGGCCATTGACGAAAAAGATGAAAAGAAGGGAACAATAATAGAGAAAGGAAACAAAGAAGAGAAAAAAGAAAAAAGATCAAGGAGAGAGGAAAGAAAAGAAAGGAGAAAGAAATAGAGAGAGAAAGAGAAAAGGCACGAAATAGGAAGAGAAAGGAAAAAGAGAGACTTTAGTAAAGAATGTAAAGGGGAGCGTGTTAACTGATAAGTGTCAAAGACACTATGTTTTTAATGTCAAATATTGTTCAAATACTGATTAATATGATTAAGAATATAGTATTAATTAATAAATTCCAAAAGATATTGAAATTCCAACAACTAGATAAGATTCTGATCCCTTTTCATATTGTTTCAGGTTCAATGTAACAAATCACTAATCTGATGAAAAGGTAGTTAGGATCAGTTGCAAAGGATAAGGATCAAGAAGAAGAAAGAATTAATCAAAATTAATCTTCAGCAAGGCTGGTCCAAATTAAAAAACCCATTTTTATTTCTATAAAAAAGCATATTAGGGCTCATTCCATTCATTCGAAAGAGGAGGCAGGGGAGCACTTATGGAGATGCAAGAAAAGAAAATCAAGAAATCACCGTGGAGTTTCCCTGCTAATTTATGGATCTTTATTGTTTCTTTTTATCTTTTAATTCTATTATTATGATTATGCAAAGCTAAATTTATTTAAGTAGTTAGGGCGAGACAGAACCAATGAGTTCTTAAATGCTGTTTACCTTTTCTTATAATTTATTTTCATGATTTAAAGTTATGCAATCAATCTATTCTTTATGACTAGCTTTGTTTATGAATTGATCACTCATAGATAAACATATGAATTATGCATGACAATAGGGATGTTGGTGTAATGATTCTGATTGATTGATTGCTAGAGTTTGTATGATCTAGGGATAGACTTACGAATTCTATAACTGCATGGTTCTTGCGTTCGTTAATGCTTGCTTTAGGGAAAAGTACTAAGGGATTGGGCTTTTGAATGAAGTAAAGGATCAAATTATCAAGGGATTGAGATTTAATCAAACTTAGAAAGAATCGTTAATAACTTAATCTTG